ATTGAAATGAAATGTTTGCTAGCTTCTAATGTATTTGTTTCTCTAGTTAATCACTATAGTCCCAAAACAAATTGGAAAGAAAACAAACTTTCAAGCTTATACTTGTCATAGCTTTTTCTTATCATTAGTGTGTGTTTGCACTTTCTGTTTTGGGACCAATGTAAAGGGAATACATATAGGGTACTGCAAGGCATTTATGTTGGATATGTTGTAAAGCATATGGTAAAGCCAACCTGTCATGTTTTTCTAAAGGATAACGCTGGCTCACAGAGGTGCTTGTGTTTTTTTTTTCTCTGAGTGCCTGAGTACCCCCTGAACATGGGGGGATCAGTTACTAGATAGGTTCTCCTAGGTTGGAGCTCTAGCATGTCCCCATCACAAACTCCTCAGCATCACTAACCATATGAGAGTAATTCATTGCTGAGGTGGTGTTCTGGTGTACCAGATGGGGAAGCCAAGATTTGTATTTCTCAGGAAATAAAGATGTAGGCTGTCACCTCCTGGTCTCTGATTTTATTGGTTTAAACCAATGCTAATATTTTACTCACTTGAGAGGTTTATTTAAATGACAACTCTGAGCAACAAGCAAAATCAGTCCATGAACTGCTAATGCAATTCAGGAAACATGGTAGTTGTGCTAAAGTGTTAAAGTTACCTAAAATCATTATTTATCTTAGATTTATGTTGTCTGTTGCAGCTAGATCTCAAGAAGCACACTTCATACATTAACAGCTTCTTATTAAGTGATTTTGTGTTATGCAACGTTGCGGTTTCTTTCTGGGAGATAGCAAAGAACCTGCCCTGGGCAGTCATGAATGCATTGGATGCATAATGACAAATCTGAGCAGTTACTTTAACCAGAATTCCAGATTCATGACAACCTGATGATTCTTGGCAAATAAATTATAGCTGTAACAATTTAACCATGGCTTGATATCTCATGCAGTATGCTAGTCTCTAGCTCCTTCCCTGATCCTGATACACATCCTCTTCCTGGACTGCTCAAACATACTTAGGCTGATTTACTAAAGTTGCTGAGAATCTTCACACAATAAATTGTGTCAATATTAACTTGATTTATCCAATCATGTACAGATTACATAAGTAAACAGGCATTTGCTTTCACATCATTAAATAATTGAAGTGGATTTTATTGTGTGAAGATTCTCAACTCCCTTAGGCTGAGTTCACACATGTGGTCAAGGAAAAATGAACGGTTGATCTGCGTTTTTACCACACCCCCGGCCGCCCACAACAAGTTGGCATTGTAGCCAGAGAGTGTTGTACACATTAACGTGATGCTTTGTTGCACTGCAAAAATTATACAGCAGGGTATATTCAGCAGGTGTTGCCACCTGCCAAACATGTTGGAATGACACTGCACCACTACTACGTGCCAAAAACTTGGCACACAGTTGCAGCACAGTAGTTCCATGTAAAATTCCCTTGGGATTAAAGATTACTGTACTTTCCGATGTGACAACCTAGCTGACCTTGAGGCCTGCACTGTAGTTGTTGTCATAAACCATGTTCCTTTTGCACCCTCAGAAGATCTAGTGAAGACCATTCTTTTTCCTGCTAGTGACACAGATAAACCACCTAGGTCTATGACAGTAGTTTACAATATATACCTGAGTTTTAATTTTCTGTTTTGCATTTTGATATAAGAATTTTTGCCTTCAAGTGTTTTTCTGAGTTTGAATTGGAAAGTATCTGCACACTGATCATGGTGAATACTGTAGTAGAGGAGAGTTTTGCTGCTCCAAGCAGTTTAATGTTTGACTTATTCCCAGTCTGTGCAAGGAAAGAGTACACTCAGTTCCTCCAGCTAGATAAATCTATTACTCTATAATCTAAAGGCATCCACACCAGTTGTTCTGTTCTCCCTGTTCTTGGTCATCTTATATAAAGTATATCCTGTGGTGAATATCCAGCCACTCTCAGAGGAACAGCTGATTCAAGTCAGAGGAAGAACAATATGAACCAGGGGACTCCAAATATGTTTTAAATAGTAATCACATGCAAGACACCATTAGCAGACTCCTTTTTGAAGTGAAATATAGCTTGTGTCGAAATCCCAATGGGAAGTTATTAGAGTTTGGTGGAAGATAATATAATCAGAAATCCCTTTTCCAGTTCTACTCTAGGGATCTTTCTTGGACAGAGCTCTGCCTGTAAGAAGATTGTTAAAAGTTCTACTTTCCCATCTGCCTATAAGAATACACAGGATTTACCTTACTCCCATACTTAAATCCCATAATTTCATAGGCAACATACAGCAGATTTATGCTTAATCCTGTACTCTGCTAGTTTGGATATTTTAATATCCAGAACAAAGGCAATTAGAGGGCAGGGTCATCTGCAGAACCTTACTGCAAATTGCAGAAAATCAAGATGTTGCTAGAAATGAATACACAAAACAGATAGCAGTGTATGTTGCATTTGCCTGTGTTCTAGATACTCGTGTCACAAATAACTGTTTTTATTTCAAATCACAGAATTCCTGTTGTCAAACTGCTGTACATGCTGGAGAATGTACATTAATTATAGAGAGACTAGTGTAAATTAGAGAGTGAGATGACACATTTCACAGGTCCCTGTTGGTAAAGCTGACAGATTTTCATATTTCTAAAGATAACCAAGCGAGACATATCACAAAAAGGTAATTTGTTGAAAAAAATATCACTTCTTACTATTGTGAACAGCACAAAGTGTGATCCTTAGGATATCCTTGGATGTGGTAGATGGAGAGTTTGTAATAGGTAAAAACAAAAATGCTGCTGTGTAGTAGTATTTTTTGTGCACTGTAGCAGTAATATTTTGCTTAGTGATGATTCTCCTTTTCTGTTGTTGAATAACAGATACAAGTTATCGAGAAAACATTAACACATAGGGGTTCATTTATAATGCTTCTGCCCAGCCATATGCAAGGTGAATGCCATTCACATGCCACTCCCACCACTTTATGGAGCCAAGGAGCAAGTTCTTGGTTGTAGCTTAAATATATTTTTTGTAATATGCATATAATCAGTTTGTTCTGTCTTCATTTGTATAGTCTTTGCATTATGGAAAAATCTGTTATTGCACAAGTTACATAGTCAAATTGTAATGATAAAACATTTCTACCTAAGAAAGTTATGTTTTATGGCGTCCCCATGTTTCTATCTGGAGATATGGATGAGTTTCACTTTTTTGTTGCAGTGTGAGGCAGTCACTCTTTCTCAGCCTGTAATTGATAAGTGGATCAAAGGAGGACAAAAAAAAAGCTTATTTACCAAAATACAGTAACATGTTTTTAGTTCTATGTGCAAGCTGTGCTGTCTGTCATTGGTATGTGCTGGAGAATTTGAGCACATATCTGTTTTAAAAAATATCAGGTATTAGGTTGCAAAGTTTCTCTTTTTATTTGTAAGTAACGTAGTTGGTGGTAACTTTTACTATGTTATATCAAAACCTTCTCATTTTAAAACAACATGAGCCATCTTAATTAGTTATGTAAAGTGACTCTGTTGTTTTAAAAAAATCCAATAAACCATGCCTGAAAAATACGTTTCTGAATACTTACCTCTTCGACAGTCAGCAAGTTCAAACTTTGCAGTCTTCTTCTTCTCCCGGTCTTTAGTGCTTAAAACAGCGAAGATCAGACTCACCGACAGCCAGAAGTATGTCTTCAAAGGCTTCTTCTGCAGGCACCTAATAATGATTTTTGTGAAAGGGTCACTTTTAAGGCAAAGCCAAGAAAATTAATGTGTTCATCTATTGAGGTCCCTGCCTTACATTTTACTTTATTGTTCTGCAGCCAGCATATTAAATATATCAAGAAATAAATCTAAGTCCTGGTGTGTTCTGGAGGTGGAAACCTCCATTGACAACACCTCCTCTCTTCCTTTCTCTTTGCACATAGAGGCTGATTGATAATATAGTACCTCCCTATGTCATGCCTATTGAGTGTTTTACAGAACAATTCTCCTCCCGATGTCATGTGACTATATCACATGTTGCTAACTCAAACCTGTGCAGGGATCGCTCCACTTAGGTTGCATCTTTGAAACAGATAGCAGCCCTTCGGGATTTTAGGTACTTGCACATTTTGTTTTTATAAGTAAAGGTTTTTAATGTATGTACCGGGGTCTCTTTAGATAACTATCTTTATTCTGGTGACTTGACTTCTGCTTCAACAACAATAGGATGGGCTTTTTACTTTGGACTGACCACTAAATGATCTCAGATTGAAGTTTTAAGATGAGATCCTTTTATTAGTGTCTATTATCTGAGCTCCTAAACATGCGTTGATTATAAATTACTTATAGAGAATTCTTTCAAAAAATTCCACTGTGATGAATACAGAAGCCTCTTCCACGGCAAATGAGTATCTGAAAGAAAAGCATGTGTGTTGCTATAGCAAGCAATATAAGTGTTCCTTTTTATTTTCTATCCTGCATCGGAAATTGAAAGCTAGATTCTGTTTGTGGCAGACAATATAGTTTAATTAATCTAATCCAAGAATTATAATGACTGCAAATTAAGCATCACTCTAAATTTACAGGTGTGAAAATGTATATGTCTGCATTACAACTAG